AACGTTGACAGTTGGTTCAAGAGCCTGAAACAGAGAAAGCATCCGAGCACGGTACGCAGTAAGATTGGTTCCTGCCTCTGTTGCCTCAAAATATGCACGCATGACACTTTCTTTTATGGAAGTTGTCCATCGCATGCGGTGCACTCCACCGGGAGCTGGGGCCCTGACCGGAGCCGATTGCCCCACAAGCCCCAAACCCTTCGGTGGCCTCTTCTTCGACGAACTGGTGGTGGCGTCGCCGGAGGAGAGAAGTACTCGTCACTATCGCTCGACGCAACTGCAGGTGTCAGCCGGAGGGTACTCGGTACTGTGTCTGTTGCTGATAACTGCGAGGCGGAACGACGCGACGTGACGAGTCCGGTGGTCTTAAACGTGCTGTTTTGCTCCTCGTCAACATTGTCGATTCATTTCCATTCTCTGTTGTTATTATTTGTTTTGACACTTACACATGTCATCAAAGTAATCATGTTTGTGAAAATTTTTCTTTTTTATTTTTATTTAATTTTTGGTTTTGTAATAGATTCAATTCAAAAAACTATGGTATAATAAATATGTTGATACGATTGTTTGGTTGAAAATAAAATATTAAAATAAATTAGTGAATTTGGAAAAATATTGTTATTATTATTATATTCAGTAGCTTCATTATTTTTGTTATGTTTTTAAGATAATCATATTTTAGATTTTTAGTGTATCACACAGTTATATAAACAACTTCGATCAGGCTTTGGCTGAATGTTACTACACACATAGCCATTAAAAATGATTCGTATGTTTTCCAATCCAGTAAAATTAAACGTCCTTTTTAAAGTAAATATGTTATAAAAAGGTGTCCATTGAAATCTAATGACTGTAAATTAAATTATAAATTACGCCAAGAATTACCGTGTATGTCAATATTTTTTGTGCATTTGGGCCAATTTGAGCAATCTCCTTTGTGGATAGAGATGGGCAGTGGGAAAAAACCTGGGTTTTTATGTGGGAAAAAACCCAATAGACGGGTATTTTCATTATTTAATATAATTATCATGACTTTATAAAAAAAAAATTTTTTAGAACAAATGTAGCGTAAAATAGGTACTTTGCAGTGGCGAAGCCTCCTTAGAACACGATTCCTGCCGGCTTACCTTGCCAGACTCTAATATATTTACATTCAAGCACAAGCGAACATTAACGTATACGTTAATGTAAGCGACATAATTACATTGCGCGCTTTGTAAAAATATTCTTTAATATGCTGGATACAAAATACGCAGTGCATTTGATATCGCGCGTACACACACAGATCCGCGCCGTAGTAGGCTATCATATTGGGACTTCAAATAAATAAAATGTAAGTACTTCACGCACAAATACACATTACTACCACATGCAACCAATCGTCGATATAACAGCGATATAACCCGATCTTAGATAGCCTGCAATCTTTATTTGTCATGTGTTAAGGCTCCGTTTAGCTTGAAGTTTTCGGCCAATCGCAGACACCTGGCGCTCGGCTCCATTATTTCGCGCGCATTCGCATGGACGGATTCGAATGCTAATTTATCTATTGTGATAAGTGATTAGCTTGATTGTGGTATATATGTAGTTTAACAGAATCGAAAGTAGTGAAATTTTACTTGCCAAGTGTTGCGTATAATGTTTGTTTTATTTCACCGTAAAGGTTTGTTTGCTTTTTTAGTACAAATAGATTGTTGTCTCACAGATTTCCTATTGAATGAGTTAACTTCATTCTCAAAACATTCGTTCAAAAAAAAAACGTGGCAATGGCCTTCGGCTCTGTCTTCCCCGTAAATCCATTACTGACGTGATACTATGTATGTACGTAGAATAGAAATAAATTAGCGGTATTTCTGCTGGTTTTTATTTGTGATGATAATGCTGGCAAGTTTCCCTTATTTTGGTTCTTTGTTTTTCTATATATTTATTTATAATCTGTGTATGAGTGACGTGCGCTTTATACGGTTTTTTGAACGCCACTTTTATCATAATCGACATAGACTGTTCATATAATACCAGTGATGTCATGTATGGTGAAGGTGGTGAACACTAACAACTATACAGCAAGCATGTTCTGTCGCATGAAAAAACTGCATACAACGCAACGCAAGCACCATACCTAACATTTGGTTGTAGTTTTGGGAAAGGTGTACTAACGCACTATTATAAGGTAAGTAATTTATTGCATGTATTTTTATAAGTTAAGATATGACATTTTGCTTATTCACGCGTTAGGCGTTTTTTTTTGGTCCGGCTTTACCTTTCTTTTTTTTTCACCCCACGCCACTGGTACTTTGCGATGCGCACATACTTTGCGACAGCGTTTATAGGACACTAGCTGAACTAAAATAAAACCAGCAGTTTAATTGATCAACAAAAAGACGTCTTCAGAAGTCTACAAAACAAAATCCCAGTCGTCAATTAAACCAACATATTAACACAAGTGCGCACAGCACGAAGCCAAAATAACGTGTAAGATAGATAGATCACCAACGCGTACGCCACTGCTACTACCTGCACCGTTGATACACAGAGGCTAAAGAGCGAGATGTAATCTGTTTTATGAATGAGTGAAAGAAACTATTTTAGTGCACTCTATCTATTGGCGGCTGTTGCCAAGGGAAGTTGGGGCGGGGACTACTTGTGCCATTTTAAAATGCAATAATGTTGACGTATATCCTATCTATATATTATACGTCATTGACTCCTATGTGTGTGCCAAATTTCATCCAAATCTGTTCAGCTGTTTTTGTGTGAATGAGTATCACACTTTTACATTTATAATATAACTAGTGGCCCGCACTCACTTCGTTTCAGTGTAGAGCTGTAGTATAGTCTATAGTTTTTGTTCTCAGGCTTGTATTATATTATACACAATGACTTTCTTCATATAATTAAAGCGTTCCGTGATTTTTTTTATTTAACTGATTGTGAAAATTTTGTTGCGTAGTTTAGGACCCGTTGTATAGAATGCAACATTGATCTGCTGTTAATAAAAATGTGTCCCCCTTACCGTTGGTTCATGCCCTTATTATTAAATGTATCTTGTGACGTAGTGGTTTGTATACACCCATCACTTTTATCACTCATAACTATTGCACTAATGATAGTATTTTCTAGGCGTATCGCGTCGCGTTGGATGTTCCTAATGCGATTCTGATCATATAAATTAGTACATTTTGATTTGACTCAACACGCTTGATGTGGCGTCTCGGGTGACGTCGCGTTTCGTTCGCCGATTTTTAAATAAATGTTTGTGTTGGATAGTGCCTTTTAGTACAGTCAATCTGTCGAAAATAATATCGTTTCAGTGAAAAAAAAACCTAAAGGGTAAGTCTTGTTTTTTCTGTTGCCAAATGACGTCAGTAAGCCACCTTGACGATGGGCATGTTCAACTCGTAGGCGTTTTTTGAAAAACTAAAAAAAACCGTCAAAAATTTTTTTAAACGCATTTTTCTTGTTTTGTATGCATTTTAGAAACTTTTTTTTCGACCATAATTGTAGAGGGCGTTGAGTGCTACAATTAATGTCATTGTTGCAATCTCGTACAACAAAAAATGCGCATTATAGGTGGCGCTAAAACAATGACATTAATTGTAGCACTCAACGCCCTCTACAATTATGGTCGAAAAAAAAGTTTCTAAAATGCATACAAAACAAGAAAAATGCGTTTAAAAAAATTTTTGACGGTTTTTTTTAGTTTTTCAAAAAACGCCTACGAGTTGAACATGCCCATCGTCAAGGTGGCTTACTGACGTCATTTGGCAACAGAAAAAACAAGACTTACCCTTTAGGTTTTTTTTTCACCACTCAACCTACAGATTGACTGTACTATTTATAAAAGAAGGCTAGAGGCTATAAAATAAAATCACGCTAGGACCAGGTAGACCAGGGTCGATAATTTTAAAAATGGTGAAAAGTGAAAAAAAATTATAGTAGGATGAAACCCATTAGAAAAGGTAGAGAATATAACAAAAATTAAAGGAAAAATAAATTACGGGCGATCTGAGGTCGGGAAGGGGGAGGGGGTGAGTTTTTAAGGGTAAAAAATGGTTAATCTCGATTTCCGGTAAAACTGCAAGTCCTATGAAAAAAAGTTATATGGCAAAGTTGTAGGTAATAAAAAGATCTACAACTTTTGTATTGACACTTTTTTCACATAACCTCAAAAATGTGAAAAATGCGAATAAACGAGTTTTTGGTTTTTGATTTTTATTTTTTGCAAAAATATTTATTTTTTCACGAAATTTGGTGAAAACTTACCTTTGTATGTCCCAAACATACAGTATTTTTTTTGATTTAACATATTCATTTTTTCACCTTATTTTGACTTAATATCGAAAAAGCACCCTTATTTTCAATCGAAAATTCTCACGTCAAAATATCTGCTTTTTTAAAAAAGTTGGGGTGTTTTTTGTTTGTTGAAATCTACTTTCTGATGGTATAAAAAAAATATACACTACTATGATAAATGTTCTCAGAAAATGCAAATTAATAATGAAAAAAACTCGAATCCATCCAATCCAATCGAATATTGCAAACTTTTTTGTAGATATTGATTTTCTCCATAAAACTTTAGTATATACATCACTTTGCTCTATTGTCAATGACTTCCGCAGCGTACGCGATATAAGGTTATCTTTTTGTATTTTTTCACACATTGGGTTACACTATCAAAGTTTTCATACGAAACACTTTTTTGAAAATACTCTATAGCTTAAGTTGATCAGGGATAATGTAAGATTCTAAATGTGCAAGAATTTATCAAATTGGTCCAGTAGTTTCAAAGCCTATTCAATATAAACAAACAATCAAATCTTTCCTCTTTATATTATTAGTATAGATTTAGTGGGATATACAAAAAGATACTTTAAGTATCAAAATCTTTAATATGAAAGAACATGATTACAACACACGCATTATCTTATTGATAAATAGATCTTTGTCGGTACATCCAGTTACCTTTTTTGCCAATAATAAAAAGATTACACAAAAAAGACAGATTTTGGAATGCACAGCATAATTATTATTTTCCTGAATACAAAATACATCAATTTATTATTATGGAAAACTTAGATTGTGTTATGTTTAAATAAGTAACTAAATTTAGCCCTTAATAACTGCAATTGGCCGTAATTTCACAGTCTTCTTACTTATACCTGCAGCATGACAGGTATTAACAACATCTGTTACATTTTTATATGATTCCGGAGCTTCTTCCATCACTAATTTAGGAGAAGCAACTCTTATAGAAATTCCCAGGGTCTCTAGTTTATTTAGAACATCTTTGTAATCTAAATTACGCCTTGACTTGGCTCTTGATAATGCGCGACCCTGAAATAAAATATTTGACAATTTTATAATATCATGCTAATGCGCTTGATGTTGGAGTGGTCAGTGTTGTGCAATAGGGTATTTGACAAGTTTAGAGAACAATCTCACGTTATTAACTGATGTTTATGTTGTCCATAAAAAGTAAATATTTTGAATTCTGTTGTGAAATTCAGTAAAACAACTAAATTAAAAATTCAGTTTTTAAGTTGCTGCGAAAACTTTTCTCTGTACGTCATGGCGCGGCGTCTCACTAGTGTGTGACGTCACACTACTGTCATTAAAACGTCAAACGATACAATGTAATGTCACTTTGGCCGGAAGTATACTAGCGTGTGACGTCATTCCAAATTGTTCATACTGTCACATAGCCTATTATAAATGTCTCACAAATCTTTAAAAGGCATTCTTTGGGTGGGTGTAAAAAAAATAATTAGATAACGAACACCCAGTTATGTATATGGTGTCTTTCTTTTTTGCAATTCTTAGCGAAGGTATGTGCACTCCCCTACAGAAGGACTATAAGAATGCTGATCAATTTTATAATGTTGAGACAATATATGATATATAAAACAAAAATCTTAAGTATCTTACTGCTCCATGGCATGTAGATCCAAATGTTTCAGTCATTCCTTGATGAGTTCCTGTTAGAACATAGCTGCATGTTCCCATAGTGCCTCCAATAAGTACTGGCTGACCAGTCAATTGATAATCTACTGGGATAAGAGGATGATGTGGAGGAAAAGCTCTAGTGGATCCCTGAAAGTAAAAATGCACTGTGATTAATAACACTATAGCCCCGCCTGAAATATCTATTATTTGAATATTTGAATTAAAGTTTGTAAATAACAAATCTATATACATTGCCTTCATAGACTACTCAAAAGCCTTTGATAGTGTAAGTCACCAATCTATCCGGTCAAATTTAGCAAAACAAGGAGTATCCGGAACATATATGGCGGTTTTAAGAGAAATCTACCAAAACAGTTCAGCAAAAATAAACACTAGGCAAAAAAATCGACATAAAAAGAGGAGTAAGACAAGGGAAGCCACTGTCATCAAAACTTTTTTCTGCTGTTTTGGAAGACATTTTCCGCAAGCTCCACTGGGATCAGTATGGGTTAAAGATAGATGGAAGAAGGCTAAGTCATTTAAGGTTCGCAGATGATATTGTGATCTTCGAAGAAGACCCGAGGCTCCTGGAGAGAATGATACAGGAATTATCCAAAGAGAGCCTAACAGTTGGACTAAAGATGAACCCTGATAAAACGAAACTTTTAACCAACTCATCTAAAATTGCTATTCAAGTCGACATTCTCGCCTTGGAGTAAGTGCAAGAATATATCTTTCTTGGTCAAATTATTTCAGCCAGAGATCAAACTTCTAAAGAAGTCAACTCACGGATAGCCAATGGATGGAGGAAATATTGAAGTCTGAAGGAGATAACCAAAGCTAGAGACCTAAGCATATCATTGAAAAGAAAAATATTTAATATCTGTATCCTGCCATGCCTGACATATGGATGCGAAACTTGGTCACTAACAAAACGACACCGAGATAAGCTTGAATAGTGTCAAAGAGCTATGGAGAGGAGTATGTTAGGAATAACAAGGAAAGAAAGATGAAAAAACGAAGACCCCAGACGGAAGACCAAAGTAACTAACATCCTGACCCGAATAGACCAACAAAAATGGAGATGGACAGACCACATGATACATAACCAATCAGAAAAATGGAGTAAAGTTATTACCAACTGGTACCCCAGAGATGGAAAAAGAAGCAGGGGATGGCAAGTTGCTAGATGGGCAGACGAGATTAAACAAACAGCTCTGAGTGGCAAAGATTGGAAGCAGCATTTCTCAATAGATTTTCGAGCATCGGCTGGACATCCTGTAGAGGCCTTGTGTCACTGACATTCTACGTTTACCACTTAAGAAAAAAAAACCTAATTTTCAAACATATTTTATAAACTGGTAGCTTTAATAAAGGCTTTTTTATTTTTATTTTATTTTATTTTTATTTATGTAAATAACATTATTAGTAAACTTTTGAGTGTGAAATCATGAGTATTTCTAAAATGAATCATCTATTTTCATGACTCCACTTTACACTTAACATCAGGTAAGGTAGGGTAATTTGTTGCACCTTGTATCAAGAAAATACTGAAATTTTAATAATTTATCACACTATATACACATAATAATAACTATATTATACTTATTTACCTTTCGATGGACTAGCAAAGTTTTCTGCTTTCCATCAACAATGTGTTCTTCAATTTTTGCTACATTATGAGATACATCATAGATAACATGCATATCTAAATCATCTGGGGCCATTTTAAATTGTTTTGCAAATGCTTGGCGAGTTAAGAATGTCATTGAACTGCGATTAACCCATGCAAAGTTAGCTGCAGCAGCCATTGCTTTCAGATAATCCTGGCCTTCTACAGAATTTATCCTGGCACAAGCTAATTGTCTATCATTTGTTTCTATCTTATCTCTCTTCATAGCTTTTTCCATTTGTACAAGAGCATCTGTAGCAACCTGGTGGCCAAATCCTCTGCTGCCAGAATGAATCATGACACACACTTGGCCAACTCTTTCAAGTCCCATTTTACCAGCAGCATACTTGTCATATATTTCATCAACTATTTGTATTTCTGCATAATGATTTCCAGCTCCAAGTGTTCCCAGCTGCGGCAGGCCCCTTTTCTTGGCGCGAAGGCTGACCTTTGATGGGTCTGCATTTAACATACGACCATATTCCTCACAATGCTCCTTGTCTTCAGCCCAGACGTACCCTTCTCGTAGGGACCAATCCATACCCATTTCTAGAGCTTCTTCCAAGTCACGAGCGTTCATAGGAATGATTCCTTTAGATCCCACCCCCACAGGAATGTGATCAAAAAGACTTTGTGCTAGTTGTTCCTAAAAACAAGTGATTTTGAGTATTAATTTATTACAATATGTTGTTGTTTAACATGAAGAATAAGCCTACGCCACTCTGGATCTCATTGTGTCATATTTGAGCGATAGGATCCAGAGAGTTGACATAAATGGCAAAAAATCTCCCAGATTATTAGTAAAGATGGATATTCCTCAGGTTCCGATTTTATTGATTTATATGTATTATGGGACACACGTCTCTGTAGCTGGAGGTGGGCGCTAATAGCTAACACGGTTCTAGAAACTAATATAGCTATTAACGAACCTAAATTATACATGTAAGCTTAAATTAGTTCCAATAAATATAGCTTCCATTTTTTTGATGAGGTTATGTCAATTAAGTGACATAGATACCGCTTGATTATATATATTTTAGTTATTATCATAGTGTGATGTTGTACCAAATACTATAGAACCGGAGTAATATGTGCAGCTTTAAGTGAATTTGGGAAACAAAGCGACACTAGCGCCTCTAGCGGTAGGAGGTGAACTATTTGTATTGTGTTTTGCATGGTGTTTTGTGTCAGTTGTGTTACAATTACTAGATTTAAAATGATTAACACCTACCTTATACACAATATGTTTTAGCTATTTACATAACAATTTAATGAATATTTTTTCTGTTTCAGACTATCAAATTCAACACCAACTTTGATGTAAAAATTGTTTTGTGGAATGTGCAACAAGGTAATAATTTTAGCAACATTCCATCTACTGCTGACTGTACTGTATTGTACAAATGTAAATACGGAAGATATGTTAATATGTAAGGATTGTATAAGATTATTTTTAGATAAGTATTTCATTGTGTTAATTAAAGCTTACATAAATAAAATTAATGACACTAAAGAAAAAAACACAATTAAGACCAACAGAAAATTAAAGAAAATTACTCATTCACAATTTGACTGTTGTTTTATTTAGCTGAATTAATACCTACTCGCTACTGAAAGGAACTAGCAAACAAAATGATCACCTCATGCCTACAGATGGCCCTATTTATAGGTTGCCATGTCGATTTATGAGAAACATCAAGAGCTGTGCATATTAATTTCACATTATTTTTGTGCTGCAAAAGCAGGCTGTTGAATCAATTTACAATCTTAACACTATAACAGAGACTCATTTATGAAAATTTAATGTATGTTTGAAAAAATATTTCTTTATTTCCTATAAATAGTGATAAGCACTAGCTTAATACTAGAAATAAAAATAAATTTGCTGTACTAATTATAAGAGTCCACAAAATTAATAATTCATTTAAAGGTCATTGTGTACACTTCTGCAATAAAGTCCCTAGCAATATCCAAAAATTACGCCTAAATAAATTTCAAGCTACTATTGATACAGTTCTTATTAAGACAAAAATACTTGGGTTTTAACTGTTCCAAAAGTTCCAGTAGGCTTTTTCTATAATGATGTTAAAGATGATATGATTTTGTACTGACACTGTAAAAATATAATATTTTGTAAATATTGTTACATAATTATTTAAAGCTGTGAAGTTTTTATCGCTAGTTTTTCTCCACAGCTAAAAACAATGTCCTTAACTGGTGGTAGGAAAAAAAATGTGGACTATTCAAAAGAGTTATATTGTGTATCCAATTTGAATAAGATTTTTTTGACTTTGACTAAGAAAAATATGTTAAACCAAACAGTAAGGAAAATTATAAGTATCTCATGCAAAATTGCTAGGTACATAATTTATTAAGCCTTTTGATCTATCAATATAAATAACTTTGCATTATAAATTAGTTTTTACCTACAAACACAAATTTTGATTGTGTTAATAAATATATGAGCAAGAGGAATCATTCCGTTATGTTTAAAATTTCTATAATATACCTTAATTGGTTGTACATCTTTTTCATGCAAATTAGTTCTCAATAGCCTGACTCCACAGTTTATATCGAAACCAACTCCACCTGGGGAAACTATTGATTTAGGGTCTGCTAAGTCAAATGCAGCCATATTTCCTGAAATCAAAACAAACTTTTTAGTCAATTCTTACACACTTACAATCTCAAACATAGTTTTAGATTAATCTAAGCTTTGAAGTGGTCTCAATTATGACAAGGATAATTCGTTTATATCTTACCTATAGCGAAGCCGTATCCTGAGTGGACATCTGGTAAGCCGACAGATCGACCAACAATACCCGGCAACGCCGCTACGTTAGCAATTTGTTTCACACCAGGAAGAAATCCTCCGGTCATACCAGGTCTGCAAGCGTTTCTTAACTCATCCAACATAAGTTTCTCCAAAGTATTATTAACGTAGAAGACTCCTTCCACATTCATGTTAGGTTGGAAACCCTTTTTTATTCTCCAACAATATGGGTTTATTTTCTCCAAGTATTTCAGTTCTTCATTATATTGCCTTACAACCATTGTAATGTGACTAAATCAGTTTTTTATTTATAAATAATACTTTTTCAGTGAAATCAAATTCACGATTTCACAAAAATAAACCTAAAACAAGCCGACAGGACAACAAGACTTACCAAACAGTAAGGACTTTTTTTTCTTTTTTTTTAAGTTCTCCCGTTTTAGGGAAGGCAAAGGGAACAGTGCCCATACAGCCTGGTTTTTAATTAAATTTATCTTCTTTTTGTTTTTACATTAGAATGTCGGTGTGACGCATTCTAATGTTTCTTGGAGTGTTTGGCACGAAATGTATCAAGTTGGCTTTATCGCAATATCCACTATGAACAAGTTTAAGAATAATTAAAATAAGACGCCAACCGCACTCGATGAAATCCCGCCAAAAAACCTTTTTATTTTTTTAACGTTACTTGTTAACGTAATCATGCCAGAATCGATACCAGTGTATCTTTGTATGAATAGCCAAGTGAAGTGCCGTTAAAATAGTAACTACTACTTTACTACTTTTTGCACCTGGAGCGTAGGTTTGGAACGGAGCCTACTTGCCTAATTGTCAAAATTTTTTTTTCGCATATTTTGAAAATAGCAACACCAACACCGATCTTGGTTTCATAATCTTTCGTTGTCTAACCTTTGAGAAAAAGTTATTTTTTATTATATAAACAAATCCTTTTCACATTAAAATGGCAGGCCTCATTAAATTACGCCAAATGCCTCTGATGCAAAGATGTGTTTGGAACCATTATTCTAAGATCAGCCGCAATATATCTACATCAAAGAGAAACAGCGATACAGCCGCTACAGCTGCAGCTTGTGAAACTAAGCCCGAAGATAAAAATTGGGTGAGCTATGGATTCGACTACAATAGCAAAGAAGAAGACACCAACACCCACAATGCTTCGTTCTTCTTTTCAGTCACACTGTGTTTAGTATTCGGTGGTTTTTCGTGGGCTTACGCGCCGGATGTACATATGAGAGACTGGGCTCAACGCGAAGCTTTCTTAGAATTACGAAGACGTGAAAAGGCAGGATTACCTCCAATAGATCCCAACTATGTAAATCCAAGTTCAATCAAGTTACCATCTGAATCTGAGCTGTGTGATGTTGAGATTATTATTTAATTATTTTTTCAACTCTTAACTTACTGGTTACTGAAATAAGGTGAATATATGGTTAGTAATGTCACCTAATGTTTTTTTTATTTAAAACATTCATTTATTTTTCATATCTTATCAAATTACTGTTCTTTGTAAATGAGATACTGTAAATATAAATTATAGCTTATTTATAATAAATTGTTTGTTTTTTCACTATTTCATTTTAAATCACAATGGTTCATTTATTGAAGTAGATACAATATACTTTGACTCTTTTAATTGATTTGGGTTTCAAGGGAGGTTACAAAGGCCTAATGGATAATGACTGCTATATGAATATCTCTCTTAACGTTATATGATATAATATAATCTAATAAAAATAATTTTATTAAAACATAAACAAGTGTTTACAGTAAATCTAGTGAAGCTGGTAAAGATATTGTTTTTGTTTGTTTCAAGAAATTAGGAGAAGCAAGATATTAATTCCCAAATATACTTCTAAGAGGAGGCTTGCTGTGTCACTAAATATCTTTTCTACTAACTAAATATCCTCTGAGCTATGTTGGGGATAGACAGGCATAGAGAAACATTAAAAAATCCTTTGTTTACCTTAAAAAACCGACTTGTTTGGGTCATAATTTTTATTATTTTTAAAGCATGTAACTGCTTGATGTTTAAATCTAAAGAAAATATAACTAGAAAAAAAAGTCCGCGTGGAATTTTTTCTAGTTATATTTTCTTTAAATTGTTTGGGTCAATTATTTAACAATCAATTAACTTATCTATAAAAACAAAAAATAAAATTAGGTGCTGATGATGTTAGGCAACCACACCTACTACATTCATTGTGTGTATTGTCAAAGTGGTTTGTATTATGTAGTAGGTTCATCATGGAGATGATAGCAATTCAAACAATTTCAGAAATAAAGATGTGGCTATGATTTGTATCCAATTATACCGAATGATATAAATGTACCATACATAATGAATCCAAAAATAGTGGAAAGGCAAAATCGTTTTTAAGCCACTGATTGAAAATCAGTTATTGTTATCAGCACTTTTTCTGCTGCTTAGCGTCGTAAATGTTGGATTTTTTATGACCAATGTCGCTTACGCCCTATTATTTGGTGTATGATTTCAGTAATTTTCGCTCAAGCGACATCTTATTCATAAAGGACGATGTAACTTTTTAATAGAAGGATATTTAGAAATGATTTTTTTATGATTATGTATTAATTTTCATAGAGCTACTTCTCATAAGGTAGACTTTCGTGCATCGCAGCCGCGTGCGTTCGACCGCGTGTGACTGACGCGCGCGGCTTATGCGATTAGTCAAGCTGGGAACATATTATCGGACGCGTCCGTAAGCCGCGGCTGATGGACGCGACTTAAAAATGTGCACGGTTGTCCGGACGATGCGTCCTCGGACATCTGGCCAGCATTCCACGAAGAATTTTCAGCTGGAAAACATGTCAAGCAGCGATAGTGAGGACGATTATTTCGAATCATTAGCGGTAGCTGCGTTGTGTTGTCCACCAAAAAAAGAAAAACAAGGAGTATTTGGGTCCATAATATTAATAAAAAACGAATAGAGTTTGGTGAATTTCACACCTTGTATCCTGATTTACAAAAGGATGAAAAACGTTATAAATTATATTTAAGAATGAATGAAGATCAATTTATGTTTCTGCTTAGTCTAATTGAACATGATATCGAGAAACAAATGACACAGTTTCGCACGCCAATATCTGCAATGGAACGTTTACTGGTAACTTTGAGGTAGGTGAATAATAATACAAGTGCTTTATTTTATTTTCTTATTTATTTTTACGCTTGTTCACAATCAAAAATTCTAGTATTGATTTTGCTGGACCTTCATATGCTTCACTTGTTTCTTCTGGGATCGAAAGCTCAATAACAGAATCTTGTGTCTGCTGCAACGGTTGAGAGCTGTATTGCGTGTAAGGAATTCGTGAAGTAGATGGTTGGAGTATGTTAGAGTACATAGACGATGAAAACTGTTGGATCTGAGAAGGAGGGGGTGAAGATTGCGGTCCGTATGAAGGCGAAGCAGATTGTTGAGTGAGAGCAGAGTGTGACTGGTGGGCATTGTGAGGTGAGGATGAAGATTGCGGCACATATGAAGGTGAAGCAGATTGTAGAGTGAGAGCAGAGTGTGACTGGTGGACATCGTGAGGTGAGGGTGAAGACTGTGGTACGTATGAAGGCGATGCAGATTGCTGATTGAGAGGAGAGTGTGCTTGGTGGGCATCGTGAGGTGAGGGTGAAGACTGTGGTACGTATGAAGGCGAAGCACGTTGTTGAGTGAGAGGAGAGTGTGCTTGGGGGGCATTTTGAGACGAGGAGGGTGAAGATTGCGGTACGTACGAAGGTGAGATAGAATATTCTCTTAAATAAGGAGAAGATGTACGTCGAACGAACGGCGACTGTGACGGTGTTGACATTACTGACGATCTACTGGAAGAAGCAGAAGATTCTATAGCAGATGTTTCGCATCTGATTTCAATTTCATGGACCATTTTCATTATATCAAACTGTAATTGAATTTGATCCAATTTGGGGAACTTCTCCACTTTTTTGGCCATCGTTTCAAAAAATAAATCAACATCATCTTTTTCAGGTTTATTCGATGTCCTTGTTTTCATTATATTTAATATTTGTTCCTGGTAATTGTTGTTATCTTTCCGTTTTTTTTGTTTCCTATTGTTCTCGTTTGAGTTGTCGTCGTTTAGACCTGAATTTTGGTCTTCTTCGCTCTCATCAACATTAGACACTGTGGGCCTATGTGCCATATAGGGCAATAAAAAAGACATTTCATCTTCAAATTTCCATTTCTTCCAGTTTTTTACTCCTTGGCCCGTTACCGTCTTTCTTCTAGATATCGCGTGCACGAACGCATTTCTTAACAGGTTCCATTTTGTCTTGCATTGTGAAGCTAAAAAAACGAATTATCGTTAAGAATTGGTTTATCTTATCAATATTATAAAAATGAAATATGTATGACTACCAAACCCTACAGCGCGTGGCTCAACACACACTTGGCCGATTTCTTATTAATTTATACTTTTTCAGGTTTTTAGCCACGGGAGAATCATTTCGATCACTGGGATTTAGATACAAAATGGGATTTAGCACAATAAGAACTATCGTACTGGAGGTAACTACGGCTATTTGGAAAAATTTAAAAGATATTTTTATGCCAAAACCTACCATGGAAACGTGGAAGCAAATAGCGAAAATATACAGCGATAAATGGCAGTTTCCTAATTGTATCGGCAGCTTAGACGGCAAGCATGTTATGCTATTTTGCCCTAATAATGCAGGAACGTCATTCTACAATTATAAAGGCCGACACTCTGTTGTTCTCTTAGCATTAGTTGACGCTAATTACAAATTTATTACAATTGATGTTGGGGCCTTTGCACGTAATAGTGACGGTAGTGTGTTTGCCGAGTCAAAACTGGGAACTTCTTTGGCGAATAATACTGCAGATGTACCAGCAGATACACCATTGCAAAATGGTGGTGAACCCATGCCACATGTCATTATAGGAGACCAAGCCTTTCCATTAAAACGATATTTAATGAGACCATATAGTAAAGAAGCTGTCTCTAACAATGCAAACAAAAAAAACTTCAATTATAGATTATCGCGTGCGAGGAGGACAGTCGAAAATGCATTTGGAATTTTAGCAGCAAGATGGCGGATATTTCATACAGATATTGAAGTACAACCAGAATATGTTGATAAAATTATTTTAGCTTGTAGTTGCTTACACAACATGCTACGGAACGCAGAAGACGATAATATTTTTTTGCAAGAACTACCTAATGGTGTACCAGATAACTTTATATCATTTGAAGGTATTCGTCATAATTCCACTCGTGTGGCATTTGATATACGAGACAAGTTTTGCGACTACTTTAGTTCTGAGAATGGACGTTTGCCTTGGACAAATTAGAATAGTTTAAAATAAAGTAATAATTACTCTTACCTGTAGTGTTTAATTCACGCCCTATTTGAGCCCATACTTGGTCTTTTAATGCAGCATTTTTATAATGTTGAAGTTTATGATTATAAAGGCATTCGTGGGCCCTAACACATTCTATTAATTTTTCGTCCATTGCGCTGATGTATTACCGCGCGCGATCGCGGTTGGTTAGCTTATGAACCCGAAACGTCCGCGGACGCGTCCCGCACCCCGTTCACACCGTCCGCGGACATATAAACATCCAGCCAGCCAGATTCTGTTTGGACGTCCGAGCGCTCAAGGCCACGTCCGCGACTTATGACAGACAATATGCACAGTTTAGTATATTTTGTATTAACCAGATAGAAACAAGTCGCGTCCATCAGCCGCGGCTTACGGACGCGTCCGATAATATGTTCCCAGTTTCAGTGCGCAGACTTTGGAAACGGTGCCTATGTGCCATACATTTTATACAAACAGCCGCGTGCGTCAATCGCACGCAAACGCATAATCGCGCGCGGCTGCGATACCCGCAATGGATAGAAGTCTACCTTTACAATACGTTATGTTTTTTTAGTAAAAGAAAAACAACTTCTTTCAGTTAGGTTACTAAAGTGGCGTTTAAAGCGATTTTGCTTTTTCACTCGATATAGATCTTAATTAATGTATTATTATCAGCATATTATTTAAATAAGTTAGTAACGTATTTTTATAATATCTTCAAATATTGCGATTCAACTAAGAATAGATCCGACTGGGCGCCATTGACGTCATAGCTGTCAATTCAAACCAAATGGGTAGAGTGAGCAAAAAATTTAATAAAACTTATTTACTAAGATTAAGTGAGACAAAACATCAGTTTTTTTAATAAAATTTATTTACTAAGGTTGAGAAAGAACACAACCGATTTTTAATAGTATTTCTTTATTAAGTCTGTGTGAAAAAAAACATTAATCAGAATCTAGCTGTTCAATTTCGCTCATCTCTGAATCATGAATAATCATGCAGGTCACATATGAACATGCATCCTATA